GCTCTGGGTAAAAGATTTCCCACATTCACTGCATTGATAAGGCTTTTCTCCTGTATGAAGACTCTGATGATAATAAAGAGCAGAGCTCTTGGGAAAAGATTTCCCACATTCACTGCATTTATAAGGCTTTTCTCCAGTGTGAACTCTCTGATGATATCGAAGACCACTGCTACTTATAAAGGATTTTCCACATTGACTGCATTTATACGGCTTTTCTCCCGTATGAAGTCTCTGATGATAGCGAAGGGTAGTGCTCTGGGTAAAAGATTTCCCACATTCAGTGCATTTATAAGACTTTTCTCCTGTATGAACTTTCTGATGAAAACGAAGGTTATGGCTCTGGGTAAAAGATTTCCCACATTCACTGCATTGATAAGGCTTTTCTCCCGTATGAACTCTCTGATGATAACGAAGGTGAGTGCTCTGGGGAAAAGATTTCCCACATTCACTGCTTTGATAAGGCTTTTCTCCCGTATGAACTCTCTGATGATAACGAAGGTGAGTGCTCTGGGGAAAAGATTTCCCACATTCACTGCTTTGATAAGGCTTTTCTCCCGTATGAACTCTCTGATGATAACGAAGGTGAGTGCTCTGGGGAAAAGATTTCCCACATTCACTGCATTGATAAGGCTTTTCTCCAGTATGAACACTCTGATGACGATGAAGGACAGACTTAGTTGTAAAATATTTCCCACATTCACTGCATTGATAAGGCTTTTCTCCAGTATGAACTCTCTGATGACGATGAAGGACGGACTTAGTGATAAAAGATTTTCCACATTCACTGCATTGATAAGGCTTTTCTCCTGTATGAACTCTCTGATGATAACGAAGGGTAGTGCTGTGGATAAAAGATTGCCCACATTCACTGCATTGATAAGGCTTTTCTCCTGTATGAACTCTCTGATGATAACGAAGGGTAGTGCTGTGGATAAAAGATTGCCCACATTCACTGCATTGATAAGGCTTTTCTCCTGTATGAACTCTCTGATGATAACGAAGGGTAGTGCTGTGGATAAAAGATTGCCCACATTCACTGCATTGATAAGGCTTTTCTCCTGTATGAACTCTCTGATGATAACGAAGGGTAGTGCTGTGGATAAAAGATTGCCCACATTCACTGCATTGATAAGGCTTTTCTCCTGTATGAACTCTCTGATGATAACGAAGGGTAGTGCTGTGGATAAAAGATTGCCCACATTCACTGCATTGATAAGGCTTTTCTCCTGTATGAACTCTCTGATGATAACGAAGGGTAGTGCTGTGGATAAAAGATTGCCCACATTCACTGCATTGATAAGGCTTTTCTCCTGTATGAACTCTCTGATGATAACGAAGGGTAGTGCTGTGGATAAAAGATTGCCCACATTCACTGCATTGATAAGGCTTTTCTCCTGTATGAACTCTCTGATGATAACGAAGGGTAGTGCTGTGGATAAAAGATTGCCCACATTCACTGCATTGATAAGGCTTTTCTCCTGTATGAACTCTCTGATGATAACGAAGGGTAGTGCTGTGGATAAAAGATTGCCCACATTCACTGCATTGATAAGGCTTTTCTCCAGTGTGTATTCTCTGATGACAATGAAGGGCAACGCTCGTGGTAAAAGATTTCCCACATTCACTGCATTGATAAGGCTTTTCTCCTGTATGAACTCTCTGATGATAACGAAGGACATTCCTCCGTGCAAAAGATTTTCCACATTCACTGCATTTGTAAGGCTTTTCTCCTGTATGAACTCTCTGATGATAACGAAGGTTACTGCTCTGGCTAAAACATTTCCCACATTCACTGCATTTATAAGGCTTTTCTCCAGTGTGAACTCTCTGATGTCGATGAAGGATCTTCTTAGTCATAAAAGATTTTCCACATTCACTGCATTGATAAG